AGGGGCCTTTGGCCCGCACACGCCCGTGGTACTTGTGTGCGGACGCCGTAGGGGCCTTTGGCCCGCACACGCCCGTGGTACTTGTGTGCGGACGCTGTAGGAGTCTTCTTCCTCCTCCAGTGCTAAACCCTTTGCTGCTTTGTTATTTTTGTTGAGATAGGAAGTCACCATGTTGCCCAGGCTGGTCTTGAACTCCTGGGCCCAAGCAGTTCTCCTGTCTCAGCCTCTCAACATGCTGGGATGATAGATGTGAGCCACCATGCCCACCTAAATGCAGAGTTTTGGGTTTTTTTGTTTTGTTTTTGAAATGGTCTCATTCTGTTGCCCAGGCTGGAGTGAGTGCAGTGGTGCCATCATAGCTCACTGCAGCCTCAACCTCCTGGGCTCAAGTGATCCTCCCAGCTCAGCCTCTGGAGTAACTGGGACCACAGGTGTGCACCACCATGCCTGGCTAATTTTTAAAAATTTTTTGTCAAGATGGGGTCTCAGTATGTTGCCCAGGCTGGTCTCACGCTCTGGGGCTTGAGTGGTGCTCCTGCCTCGGCCTCGCAGTGCTGGGATTCCAGGCGTGAGTGCCTGCACTACTTTGATCATCTGGTGCTTTACTCAGAATCTGATGGCTGAAATTCTTACTGATACTCAAGAACGTTTCTGGTAGGAACGGACTGTTTCTCTGCATTCACAGGGTCGGTTATAAGCTTCTCTCAGAGGAGGGCAGGTCTGATGCTGGTGGTGGAAAAGGTTAAATTCACTGAGTGCTGCCTCTGGCCTGGTTCTGCGGGAGCACCTGGCGCAGCCTGACCCGTTGCTGCATGAGGCCCAGAAGGACAGGCCACACTCACCTGGCTTTCCCAGGGGCAGCTGGGTTCTGGGGAAACTGAGGGTGGAGCTTTAGCAGAGGCAGCCTCCAGGAGCCCAGGGTCTCAGCCACCAAAACACACTCCCTGTTGCCCGATGTTGGAAACCAGAATGCCAGAGGGTCGCATCAGAGGGTAATTCAGCTTCTCCCGTGTTTCCCTCGTGACACCCCAGGGCCATCACGGAACAGAAGCAGAAGATGAGGCGGCTGGGCTCAGACCTGACCAGCGCCCAGAAGGAGATGAAGACCAAGCACAAGGCCTACGAGAGCGCCGTGGGCATCCTCAGCCGCCGCCTGCAGGAGGCCCTTGCGGCCAAGGAGGCTGCAGATGCGGAGCTGGGCCAGCTCCGAGCCCAGGGCGGCAGCACTGAGAGCAGCCCGGCTCTACATGTAGGTAACGCCGTGCCCTCCCTCGTCAGCGTCAGCCCGTTGGTGTGGGGAAGGGCTCTCTGTCAGCGATGGTCCCCTAAAGGCTATCGGGGCCGAATTCATGTGGGAGGTGGCATCTCTCAACTCCCGCTCAGCGTCGAGGCTGCTAGGAACCCACAGTGACTGAGCATTGCCTTGTGAACCCCACACAGTCTGGGGTCTGTGGCGTTCACCGCACTTTCCTCAAGAAACCTTCTTGGCTCAGAGAAGTTTAGCTGCTCCCAAGGGGCAGAGGCAGGGCCTGCCCTGGTCCACCTCGTTTCAGCTTCCTCTGCACCTCCTGGCATCTCGGGAGGAAAAGCAGCCTCCACGTTCACTGAGAAGTTGGAGTGAGGGTGTCGGGTCCGCGTTTGGCAGGGTTCAGGGAGTGTTTGAAGGGAGCGACGCTGTGGTGGCCTCGCTGGAGGGCTCTCTGAGCAGGGCCTTCTGTGGAGGCCACGGCCTGCCATGCTCTCACTTTCCATGGTAGACATAAAATTCTCTCTGAGTTCATCCATGTTTTATTATCCTCCAATTTATGTCCTTGCACTGACAACTTAGTATTTCTTATGTATGGTTTGCTTCTGTCTCTTGTCCATTTAAGAATTTATGGGGAGGAGGAGAATGTATCATAACATGGGGCTTTCTTGTCAAATTAAACCAACGAGGCCAGGCACGGTGGCTCACACCTGTAATCCCAGCACTTTGGGAGGCTGAGGCAGGAGGATCACTTGATTCTAGGAGTTTGGGAGCAGCCTGGGCAACATAACGAGACCCCATCTTCTAGGAAGAATACAAAAAGTTACCTGGGCATGGTGGCCTGTGCCTGTGGTCCCAGCTACTTGAGAGGCTGAGCTGGGAGAATGGCTGCAGCCCAGGATGGGAGGCAGAAACTGCAGTGAGCCGTGATTTTGCCACTGCACTCCAGCCTGGGTGGCAGAGTGAGACTCTGTGTCCAAAATGAAATAAATAAGTGCTCCCTCTCACCTGGTTGCTTTGTAAAATGTTGGGGAGTTTGATTTAGATGCCGTTGTCCTTGGGCTCATGAACAGCTGGGGTGGGGAGGGTGCAAAGGCAGCAGAGCCGGCCCCTCGCTGCGCTGTTGCAGCTGAGGAGCAGTGCGGCTGCCAGCCGATGTCTGCGTCGTCTGGGCTTCAGCACTCGCAAGTGGTGGCTTTTGGCAAATTGCTCACCTTTTTGATCCTCAGCGCAATGAAGCCAAAATGAGGTGAATGAGAACCTCCTCATGTGAGGGTTAAGTTGCACTGGAATGTGCTTGGGGAGGGCTGGGACCATCAGCAACAAGTGGTGGGGTCCGAGAGCACGCCTGTGCCTGCGTGTATTCCTGCACGTGTGTGGTGTGAGCACGTGTGCAGTGTGTGGTGTGAGCGTGCGCGGTGTGTGGGGTGTGGGTGTGTGTATGGTATGGAGCTTGTGTGTGCATGGTATGTGGGGTGTGAGCACATGTGCGTGGTGTGGGGTATGAGCACGTGTGTGCAGTGTGGGGTGTGGGTGTGTGTACGGTGTGGAGCGTGTGTGTGCATGGTATGTGGGGTGTGAGCACGTGTGTGTGGTGTGGGGTATGAGCATGTGTGTGCAGTGTGGGGTGTGTGTGTGTGGGGTGTGAGTGGGTGTGTATACGGTGTGGAGCGTGTGTGTGCATGCTATGTGGGATGTGAGCATGTGTGCATGGTGTGTGGGGTGTGAGCATGTGTGCATGGTGTGTGGGGTATGAGCACGTGCGTGCATGGTGTGGGATATGCATGTGCGCAGTGTGGAGTGTCAGCGGTGTGGAGTGTGCATGGTGTGGGGTGTGAGCACGTGTGTGCAGTGCGAGGTGTGAGTGTGTGCGCGTGGTATGTGGGGTGTGAGTGGGTGTGTGTATGGTGTGGAGCGTGTGTGTGCATGGTATGTGGCGTGTGAGCACGTGTGTGCAGTGTGGGGTATGAGTGCACGGTGTGGGGTGTGAGGGTGTGTACATGTGGAGCGTGTGTGTGCATGGTATGTGGGGTGTGAGCACATGTGCGTGGTGTGGGGTATGAGCACGTGGTATGTGGGGTGTGAGTGGGTGTGTGTATGGTGTGGAGCGTGTGTGTGCATGGTATGTGGCGTGTGAGCACGTGTGTGCAGTGTGGGGTATGAGTGCACGGTGTGGGGTGTGAGGGTGTGTACGTGTGGAGCGTGTGTGTGCATGGTATGTGGGGTGTGAGCATGTGTGCATGGTGTGTGGGGTGTGCATGTGTGCACAGTATGGAGTGTGTGCGTGGTGTGGAGCATGTGTGCGTGGTGTGTGGGGTTTGAGCACGTGTGCCCAGTGTGGGGTGTGTATGTGGGCGCGTGGTATGTGGGGTGTGAGTGGGTGTGTGTATGGTGTGGAGCGTGTGTGTGCATGGTATGTGGCGTGTGAGCACGTGTGTGCAGTGTGGGGTATGAGTGCACGGTGTGGGGTGTGAGGGTGTGTACGTGTGGAGCGTGTGTGTGCATGGTATGTGGGGTGTGAGCATGTGTGCATGGTGTGTGGGGTGTGCATGTGTGCACAGTATGGAGTGTGTGCGTGGTGTGGAGCATGTGTGCGTGGTGTGTGGGGTTTGAGCACGTGTGTGCCCAGTGTGGGGTGTGTATGTGGGTGCACAGTGTGGAGCATGTGTATGCAGTGTGAGCACGTGTGTGCACAGTGTGGGGCATGAGTGCGTGTGCATGGTGTGGGTGTCAGTGCTTGTGTGCACAGTGTGAGGGGTGTGAGCGCATGTGCATGTGTGTGGGAGTGCCTGTGTGCATGGTGTGTGGGACGTGAGGATGTGCATGCAGTATGTGGGGTGTGAACACGTGTCGTGTGTGGTGTGTGTTACCTAAGCATGTGTGTGGTATGTGCGCATGTATGGTATGTGTGTGCTGTGTGATATGTGTGTGTATGTGATGTGTGTGAACACATGTGTAGTGTTTATTACACCTGGTGCTGTGTGCTTGCCACAGATGGTTTATAGCCATTGTCTGCAGCTAAGATTTTCTTCTGTGTTTTTGAAGCTTTGAACTGAAGAGATGGTTTGTCGCGATTGTATCGGTGTGTCGTCAGGTGCATGCTGTGGTTGGTTAATTCGGCTTCTTTAACAGAAGTGAAGTATCGTGAGACTGCTTCCGACAGCCGCCAAATGGTCTGTGCAGCCGCACAGCTTCACGCCTGCAGTCGCCACGGGAAGTGGGGGTCGGGGCCTGTCCCCTGACCAAGCACTCGCTCCGTCTTGACCCTTAGGAGAGGATCCAGGCCCTAGAGGCGGAGCTGCAGACTGTTGGCCACAGCAAGACACTGCTGGAGAAGGAGCTGCAGGAGGTCATCGCGCTGACCAGCCAGGAGCTGGAGGAGTCCCGGGAGAAGGTGCTGGAGCTGGAGGATGAGGTGAGGCCTGGGCTCCTGCTGTCGCGGCAGCATGGGGCAGGTCACGTGAGCCCTGGCCATGCTGTCAAAACTTCACATGAGCCCAGTAATGCTGCTTGCTGTTGCCACCTTCTGACCACAGGCCTCTGGCTGTGGTGGCCGGGGTGGGGGTGGCGGTAGGGGGCGGCATTGGCTCTGATTCCAGCCCTCCGGGAGGACCGTTTTGTTTGGTGGGGCAAGCTGATTCCAGCCCTCTGGGGAAGATCATTCCGTATGACCCGGTGGCCTCTGGCTCTCCTGGGCGCAGGCTCTGATTCCAGCCCTCCGGGAGGACCGTTTTGTTTGGTGGGGCAGGCTGATTCCAGCCCTCTGGGGAGGATCATTCCGTCTGACCCGGTGGCCTCTGGCTCTCCTGGGCGCAGGCTCTGATTCCAGCCCTCGGGGAGGACCGTTGTGTTTACAGCCTCTGTTGCGGAATGATTATGGAATTCATAGTGGAACCCTTTCCAGTTCGAATGCTTTGGTTGCAAACAAGAAACCCAACTCGGCCAGGCACCTCACGCATGTAATCCCAGCACTTTGAGAGGGCCAAGGTGGGCGGATCACCTGAGGTCAAGAGTTTGAGACCAGCCTGGCCAATATGGTGAAACCCCGTCTCTACTAAAAATACAAAAATTAGCCGGGTGTGGTGGCGGGCAGCACCTGTAATCCCAGCTTCTCAGGAGGCTGAGGCAGGAGAATTGCTTGAACCCGGGAGACAGGTTAGAGTGAGTGGAGATCGTGCCAGTGCATTCCAGCCTGGGTGACAGAGCGAGACTTTGTCTCAAACACAAAACATAAAAACCCAACTTAAGTCTTTAAAAGAACTCTCTCCCAGGTTCAGTGAGAGTTTTCTTGCATCAGTGGTGCTGGTAGTGCTCAGTGTCCCGGCCCACCTCTGCCTCCCCAGCCCAGCCCTGGGGAGCTCCGTCACCCGGGGACTGCCTGTTCTACTCACCATCTTCCTTCTGTCCTGAAATGGTTTTGCCCATGCCCACCCTGCTGAGTGGCTTGGCCAGGGCTCAGTCTCTGGACAGAATTCTTCAGAGGCCCATGGCCCAGGAGAAGGCCAGGCTCTTGGCTACGAGAAGGAAGGAGAGGGGCCTGGGGAAGCAACTGACCGTGACCACAACTACCTTCAGATCATGAAGCAAGCATGGTTGTGTGGTGTTCATTGCTGTGTTGTGTTTGGTTTTTGGGGACAGAGTCTCACTCTGTCACCCAGACTGGAGTGCAGTGGCATGATCTCATCTCACTGTGGCCTCTACTTCCCAGGTTCAAGTGATTCTCCCACCTCAGTTTCTCAAGTAGCTGGAACTACAGTTGCCCACCACCACGCCTGGATGATTTTTGTATTTTTGGTAGAGATGGAGTTTCATCATGTTGGCCAGTTTGATCTCAAACTCCTGACCTCAAGTGATCCACCTATCTCAGCCTCCCAAAGTGTTGGGATTACAGGCATGAGTTCCCGCACCCAGCCCATTGATTGCTGTGTTTTAGTTTTCACTGTTTTTTTTTTTTTTCCTGTGAGACAGAGTCTCGCTCTGTTGTCCAGGTTGGAGTGCAGTGGCTACAGGCATGCGCCACGATGCCAGCTAATTTTTGTATTTTTAGTAGAGATGGGGTTTTATCATGTTGGTCAGGCTGGTCTCGAACTCCTGACCTCAAGTGATCCGCCTGTCTTGGCCTCCCAAAGTGCTGGGATTACAGGCTTGAGCCACTGCGCCCGGCCTAAGTTTTTGCTCTCTCTTGTTGAAAAGTCACCTGTTTCTGGGGTGTGTGAACTCCACTCACCAGTGTGTAATTTCATAGCGACATTGGTATGTTTCAGCTTCAAGAATCCAGAGGCTTTAGGAAGAAGATAAAACGCCTCGAAGAGTCAAACAAGAAGTTGGCTCTCGAATTAGAGCACGAGAAAGGGAAGCTTACGGGCCTCGGACAGTCCAACGCAGCTCTGCGGGAACACAACAGTGTCTTAGAAACAGCTTTGGCCAAGAGGGAGGCGGACCTAGTGCAGCTAAACCTCCAGGTATTCACACTCGTCACCAGCAGCAGCGTGAGAGTGGCTAAGAATCTCACCCAGGTTCAGTCACCTGTGCTGACTCCTAGCCCCACTGGCCTGCAGCAGAGAACAGGCTCAGGTATCGGGGTGACCCACAAGACTGGGTCCCCAGCTGTGGGTGCAGGGCTGGGCTCTCTGAGGTGAGGCCGGAGCACTTGTGTTTGCTCAGTTCACCTGCTTACTTCCATGCAGCTGTGCTGACTTCAGTCCCAGGCAGTGACATTGTATGTAGGGGCACTTAACAGGAGGCTCATGCAGTGCAGAACTGGGACTTGAACCCTGGCCTGGGTCTCACTCAGCTGCTCAGGCCACAGCCTCTATGGATTGAGGACCAGGCTGGGCATTTCAGGGAAACCTTTAAGGTGGCAGCCGGGGGCCAAATCGAGCTGCTGGTGTTGACGCTCCCATCCTAGAGAGTTCCATATTTTGTTCTAGTTCCCACCACTTCTGCTCTTGTACCTGGCTGTGACCCCTGATTTATGTGTATCTTTTGGGTTCCCAGCCACATTATTATTTTTTGAGACAGGGTCAGGCTTTGTTGCCCGTGGTGGAGTGGAGTGCGGTGGCCCCATCACAGCTCACTGTTGCCTCGGCCTCTGAAGCAGTGGGGCCCACAGGTGCGGCGCGATCTTGAATGCGGCCCTGTGGTGGTGTTTTTATCACAGATCCTTCAGAAGTGGAGTTTCCTCTGCCTCCCTGTTTGTACCCTCTTCTGTGGTTTGGTGTGTCATGTTACTGGCTGTAGCAGCCTCGTGTGTCTGGAATGTGACATCCTTCCTTACCTGTCCTCCTACAATACCATCTAGGTGCAGGCAGTTTTGCAGCGCAAAGAAGAGGAGGATCGCCAGATGAAGCAGCTGGTCCAGGCCCTGCAGGCCTCACTAGAGAAAGAGAAGGAGAAGGTGAACAGCCTTAAGGAGCAGGTGCGTGCCACCTTCTGGCTCAGAGAGCCCTCCAGAGCGCGCTTCGGTGCCTAGATATCTCCTTCCAGCAGTTACAGAGAGCAGAGGTGCTTTGCATTTGTCGGTGACTGAGGCTGCAGAGCACATTGGTCCTTAGAAGGCGGTGTTAGATTAAATGGTGACGCAGCCACGGGGGCCTGGGGCTGATGAGCTTTGTGTGCACGTGTGTTCATCTTGTGCGAGGTACAGTGCCCTGTATGTAGTGTTTCATTGTGAAAGCAAACTTTACAATAGCATATGATCCCATTTGCGTTTGGCAGACAAGAAGGGTGGTTATGTGGCGAGAGCTGTGTAGAGACCTGTCTTTTCATGGCTGGCTCCTTCCCGGCCTCAGGTGTTCACTGACACACTGGTCAGGTTGTCACCAGAGGCCCATCCTGACCTTCACATGCTCTGTCCGGGCCTGCTCATCCGTTAGAACGCTGCTTGCTGGCCACCTCCCCATGCCAGGCACAGAGCATGATTGCCGTGTGTGTGCATGTGGAGGGGTGTGCATACATAGTTTTTGGTGTGAATGTGCGCACATGTGTGCCTGGGGTGTGGTGTGTGTGCGCATGGGGTGTGTGTACATAGGCTCTGGTATGAATGTGCGCACGTGTGCCTGGGTTGTGTGTGTGCACATGGGGTGTGTGTACATAGACTCTGGTATGAATGTGTGCACACGTGTGCCTGGGGTCTGTTGTGTGTGCACATGGGGTGTGTTTACATAGGCTCTGGTATGAGTGTGCACACACATGTGCCTGGGGTGTG